AAATAAATTCATACAAAACAGTGAGGGTACCAATGAATTCCAAGATGCAAAGAAAAAAAAAATTGAAACCATTGACATTTATAGATGTTTGCTGGATGATTACAAAGACCAAAAAGTGGATATGAACACAGTCAGGCAGTCGGTAATGCATTTTATCAATGGCAACAGTAATACGCCACATTTTGAGCAGTTTTGCAGTTGGCTACCTACAAAATAAATAGCTCTTGTTAGTCACTGGCAAAAATGCATAGACAATAATAGTGACTGTGTTAAAACAAACAAGTTTCATTAAATTCAACTTGTTTATCATTTTGTTGTTGAAAACTTATTCTGTCCATCGGAATTCTTCTGGAAATAAACAGGACTTACTTTTCAAGCATATCTCTCCCTCTTATACAATTATATATATATATATATATATATATATATTTACCCCCTCACTAATTTTTTAATTTTTTTCTAATGGATGGCTGAGGTATTGTCCCTGCTTTTGCAGGTGACACTCCCAAAAATTTCATTACATACAAATATATGACACAAATACCTTCATGCCAGTTTTTCTGCCTGTGCCCTGAGGTGTAGTGATCAGTCATTCAATCAATGAAATATTTGTCTAAAAGGTATGTACTCATATAATCTAATGTTTCAGCTTGAGTATTTTAGTGCACACACAATGTTCAGACGACTAACCCTGTATATTTAAGCCACTCATCTTTTAAAAGTGTAAAGGAAAAGAAATTGAAGACAATGAGTTTTGTTAGACAAGAATAAAAAGTAAAACAATTTGAAATCTGGTTAATCTATGGTGATTTTTTTCTTAACAAAAGAAATTATACTGAAATAATAATCATGACTGTGCAAGTTTATATAAATAAATATTTTTGTTTGGTTATCTGATTAGATTATTTTTTCAAATCTGGAAAACCTAGCATAGCTAATAATATTTGGTAACAGATTTTCTAAATCACATTTGTAGTTTTTTTTTTTTTTTTATGTAGAAATACAAAAGAGAAAACAATATGTAACAGCTGATATAAATAGGGAAAAAAAAAAGATTTGACTAAAACTGACAAAATCGTGTGTGTGTGTACAAGACAAAAGGAAAAAACTTAATGTGTTTTGTCCTGAGGAAATTTATCAAGCTATGAAACACATTGGTAAAGAAAATTTTTCCTTTTGTCTTATTTTATATTGTCCTTCCAGATATATTTTATTTATATCTGAATTTTTACATTCATACATTTTTTAATCAATTCACCCACCCCCAAGAAAAGCAATAATGACACTAAGACACAGGTTACTGGGAGTGAAAGAGAATGAAAAGGCTTTAGAAAGAACTGGAAACCCAATCCTAAACAAGAGACAAGGGATAACCCTTCACTCCTGTTCAATAGACAAGGAAGGTATGGGAATTGGGTGTTAGGCAAGCCTATCTACTCATATAAACAAATATAAAAGGTTACCAATATAGTACAGTACTCAAAGAACAAGGAAACAATGAACAGAGCAATATTAAACACCTTCACGCAACTAAAAGTTTCATATGTACCAATATTGGATATGGCAGTATAATCATCAGGTGATCCAGAGAGACATATAATGTATAACTGTAACTGCCATTTTTATCTTGTCTCTCTGGATCACCTGATGACTGTGCTGTCATATCCAATATTAATGCAGAGGAAACTTTTTGTTGCATGAAGGTGTTAATAAGTACCTTATATATATATATATATATATATATATATATAGGAAATCTTGCCTACTACACTGAGAGCACATGGTTCTTGATAATGACTGAGATGGCCAAAAGTACTTCAATTTCAATCCTGCTATACATGTTATCCAAAAATTAGAAAAAGACAAATAAAAAACTAAATGGACCAACCTTGATAGTTGCATTTAATAAAACTTGTTTGGATGAATACTTATATATGTTCAGACAAGCTCCATTCTTTAGTGTCATCAATTCAAACCTTTGCCACTATGACCTGCTACTTTATTGAACAGACTCCTGTGTGGATGCTTCCCTGAACACTACAATTTTAACCTCTTCAAGTCTAGGATCAATCATTATCTATCTTCCATATCCCAGTAATCTTCATTTTCTACTTCCTCCTTTTATGTCCATATCACACATCTTATTCATTAAGTCTCTACCTTTAGTGGCTCTTTGGCCTTCTAGTGGCTGAACTTTAGTATACAAAAAATAAAATAAAAACAAAAAGTACCAACATGGACAGTTGAGGATCATTTCAATGTCTTTTTATTTTATTTTTATTAGAAAGAATGGAGTTTAATTATTTGAAAGAAAGGCCTTCGATGAAAAACAAGTCAGAGGCAAAGGTTGTTTTTTTTTTGTTTTGCTTTATTCATATTAAGAATTATTTAAAACTTTATTTCTAAAAATAAATCAAACAAATTTGATATTAACAAAAAAAGAAAATGAATTTTACATTTTGACCTCATTCAAAGCTATGTATTATTCAAGTGAAGAAATTTGACCTATGGTCAATTTGTAAAAATAAATAAATAAGAGCAACTTTTTTTTTTTTTTTAATAACAATTCAATGCAAAGTATTTTTCTCTTCAAATACTGCCTAAGAAAAAAACAGGTTTATAAATGGGCATTATTCAGACTGTGAGGCCAGATAAAAGCAATTAAATTAGAAAACACAGATGACTCACTTTACTATGAAATACCTCTATCATTCGTAAATGATCAATCAGATCTTTTTCCAAATAATGTACAAGATAAACAATATTGTACTTACAAAAATGTTTTCATATTAAATAGCTTTTTTGGTGTGTGTGCGTGTTGGGTAAACAAGTCTAAAAAAGTTTAAAAAAAAAAAAAAAAAAAAATTTTTTTTTTTAAATATATATTTTATATATTATTTTTTTTACAGTAATTATTTTAAAATTGATTTATGACTTTTGAGATACACTGTCAGTGTAAACAAAGAGAAAAATGAATGAAAAAATAGAATTTAAAGTATACTAATAGAGATTTACCAGACTCCTCACTGAGTCAGGTTGTGACACAAGGTCAGTTTTTAACATGGAACCCAAGTGTTTTTCACTCGGGCTGCTGGTCTAATATGAAAAATAAATAAAAACATCCTCTAAAATTTAAAAAATGTTTTATTTTTTTAATCCTCCTTGCCCAAATTATTATTATTTTTCTTTTTGCTTTAAAAACAATATTTTTATTTGACTGTGTGTTGAACCTTTAAAAAGCCTTCATGGTCAAGTAGGTGAAAGAATGTATTTATTTGGGAGTTATTATCGGATTCTGACCGCATTTTTGTGTGGACGACACCCACATGTTTTCAATAATATCATTTACATTGTGACAAATGTACTTTCTCCCCCCACCCTAAATAGAAAATTTACCTTTGCCCCCAAATTATTTTTAATTTCCTTTTTTAATTTATTTTACTTATTGTACTTTTTAAAAACATTTATTGGCATTATTTATTATTTTGTAATTATTTTTTAAATGCTATTTTCTGCTGTAACCATAGTGAGTGAATAAATTAGACATTAACTAACAATAAGAAGAGGAAGCAAGTGACCTAAGTCACGTGATTGTCTTGTCGCAAGTCGAACTGAAGACAAGCAGAAATTAAAAAGTAAACTAAACGATTCTTCTTGAAGAATTTTTTTTGGGGGATGCAGTTTTTTTTTTGTTTTTTACAATTGAAATAAATCCTTGTTGTAACCTTGGTGTTATGAAGGAAGGATAATTTTATTTTTTAGAAATATGAATAATATTAATTAGAAATGTTAAAAAAAAAAATGCACACACAAGGTGGTGCTGATAAGTTCTTTTCAGCACCCGCTCATATTTAAAACAACAACAAAAAAGCTTCACAAGTGCCAATGAAACAAAAAAAAAATGTCACAATTAATTAAAAGCAGTTCAGTTCATTGTTTATCTTGCAAAAAAGCTTAAAATTTGTAAAAGGAAATGATAAATTTAGTAGAGGATCAAAAATTGAGGATTTTCGACAGGAAAAAAAAATAAACAGTCTTTCTTTATTTTTTCACATAAAATAAAAAAAACAAACTTTTTTTGAATCTCATATAGCTCATAACTGTGATGTACCCAAGAAAAATAGGGGGACAGTTTTGCGTTTAGCCTCCCCAGTTTTTCAGGGTCAAAGAAAATATAATTTAATTTTTTTTTATGCAAAAAAAAAAAAAAAAATTTTCTTTCCTCAAATTTCAATTTATTCAAGATTGTTTGTTGATCACATGCTCATCTTCCTCAACCAAGTAATTCTTTCTTCTTATTATTGATTGTCCACAAATTCAAAATCTAATGTCAACATTATTATTAAAATCTTCAGAAAAAAAAAACAAAGAGAAATTATAAGTAGTATATAATTAAAATTCCTTTTTAATACGTGTCATCATTTTGTCTTAGTAATCAAATCAACGGAGTTTCTTTTTCCACCTGGAGCTTTTAAAAGTTAGGACAGGTAAAAATATTTTTATTATTGAATAAGGGGGTGGGGCTTCAAGATAAATATTTTTCTTTTCACCCAAATTTCGTCCCTCTCTATTAAAAAATAAAATAAAATAAATAAATAAATAAATTAAAGTTTTTTTTTTACATTTATTTATCACTTTTTAAGGGTTAAATAAAAAAAAAAAAAAAGTAACTAAAAAAATGAAATTTTTTTTTTTTAGTTTTGTTTGTCTCATTCCCACAGGTTTGAAAATTAACTTCTGAACTTGTAGAGTTTTTAAAAAAAGAAAATAACAACAATCTGGAGCCGAGCAACCCCAGATAACCTTGCTTGTTATTTGAATCCGAAATAGATCGAACTAGAACTGGATTAATAAAGCGATGGATGGAAGCCTCTGAGACAGAAAAATAAATAATACACAACATGAGAAAAACAATTAAACGTGTATTAAATTAGTGTCTCTGGGGACTTGTTTTTAAATGAAATAATAATAAAAAAGGTCGGGGGTGCCCGTCTTCCTACCTTGACCAGTTTGCCATCAATTTGGAGGGTCTTCATAGTAAAGTCAACCCCTATAGTACTGCCGTGTTTTTCCAAGTAGGTACCAGACTTGAAGCGCTGGACAACACATGTTTTACCCACTCCAGCATCCCCAATTAGGACGATTTTAAATAAGTAATCAAACGAATCATCCGGGTCGAGATGCGAATGGTACGCCATGGTTGTGTAAAAAAAAAAAAACTGTATATCACTTAGGTGTGTGTGCGTGTTTGTAGATGCTTTTTATCTTTGTGATGTGACTGGCAGCTAGAACTGGAGGTCCTGGTGCTGGGTTTCAGAGGAGAGGTCGCCTTGCTTCCGCATCCCACTCTCTGCAGTAGTCCAACTGGAGTTCCACTGTCTGTTCCGATGATGATCTTGACTCACCACACAATTCTTCACGTTAGGCCATGGCAGACCTCCGCAGTAATTCGCCTGTCGTGTAACCATCCATACGGAAATGACGTCAACGATAGAGTGTCTGCTCTGAACTTCCTCCGATAGTTGCCTGCCTCGAAAAGTGCTAGGAAAAGTGGAGACTTCTCGATATCACGTGACTTTCGGCAAGCGTGTTTTTGCCTTTTATGCTCAGTTTAATAATTTTTCAAGAAAGCTACAGGAAAATACGTGTATTTTATACATCATTCTTTTTTTTTTTGTTTTAATTTTTTTTAAAAACAGTTGTATTTTTTATGAGTATATAAAAATATATTTTTCCTTTAATAATTGTAATTCTTATATTGTGATTAATTGCAATAACATCCCATAATATTGTTCACAGGTTGTCAGGTGTACAGAGAGGAATATGTAGCTTTTTCTTTAATTTATTTTTCTTAAAATAAAAGCAAATTTTATGCAAGTATTATAATATTTATTGAACTTTATGGTGAACTACAAAAGCAAAAATACAATATATATTCCCATTTCTTTGTGAACTATGTAATAATTGCAATTTTAAGAGTAAAAAGGTGCATTTTAAAGCATAATTTGGCTTCTTTCATCCTTTCTTCTTCTTCATCTACGTCGTATGTTTCCTTAGGACATTGTCAATCATGGCTTTCCACAATTTTCTGTCCTTTGTAACTCTTAATAATTTTTGTCTTTTTGTTATTTCTCCTAAATCCTGTTCTGCCATCCATTTACTCAAATTCGCTGGGTAGGATATGTGTTGCTTTTCTTTGGCCCTCTTGCCTTCTATCTGTCCTGTGAGTATCAGATTTTCCAAGCCCTCTTTTTTCATTATGTGCCCTAGAAATTTCAACTGTCTCTTCTTGATGTTAATTATAAGTTTCCTTTTTGTTTCCATTTTTCCTAAAGCTCACATGTTCAGTTCATGGTATTCTCAGCATCCTTCTCTAAAATTACATTTCTGTTGCTTCAAGTTTGGCATTCACTATCATATAAGGGGACTGATATTATGTAACAATTCAGTACTTTTTTTCTTTGTTTATATGAAATTTTTTTGTTTCTTAATAATTTGCTTAGCTTTTGGAAGGCATCTTTCACTATCCCAATGCACTTTCAGATCTCAGTGTCACACTTTCTGTCCTCTGTTAAAATACTTCCCAGATATTTAAATTGTTCTACTTCTTTTATTTTGGCATTTCCAATTTGTAATTTGCATGTTGGGATGGTCTTTTTGCTAACAACCATGCATTTGCAATTGATGTTTATTTAATCATTTAACAACTTTTTAGATTAAAGGTTGATTGTAGATTAACTTGGTTTTTAAAATAAATGTCCAGATCATTGATTTTGTGCTTATTTATTGGGGTTAATTTTTTCAACAAAAAACACTATTTTTTTCATATAGTTACCATTACTGGATAATGCATTTTCGCTAGAGTGCTTCACTTCATGGGCTAGGATGTGGCATTTAATCTCACAATGGAAAGTTATATGTATTGTAAATTCTTAAAACAGAACAATTATGTCATCTCAATCTACAAGTACCACTGTTATCATGTAACCTAATACAACCTACCACATGTTCGGTATGGATCATCAACAACTAAACCAGTTCCACCACCGGGCTTTTCTAGCAAGTAGGGTGGCTAGACACTCAGCAGGATTAAAAACAAGACATCTCTAGGGGTGGATGGAAAAAGAGAATTAATAAATCCAATTTCATGTTTGGTTTCTATTATACATTAATAGCAATGTCAAGAAAAGAAATGCCTTTATGATACAGTTTTATTAAAAAAAAAATTGTCTGGAGGAATTTCAACATGGATGGTTTTGCACCTTTCAAGGCATCTTTTCATGTGAGCCAAAATTATTTATTTTTAAATATCTGGCAGAGTAAGCCAATATTTTAAATGGTTACATTTAAAACCTGTTATTAAGACCATTAGTGGTTGCTTGAAACATTTAAAAAAACATCAGTTCTGATGAAAGAGCTGAGATATCCTTTTCATTCCATTAGTAAGCACAAAAAAAATCCTTTTATTTACATGTTTGATGTTAAATGGTTGGGAATAGTCCCATAGCACTTAAGCCTACTATTAGTGCACATCAAGTACAATTCATTTATGTGTACATCTAATTGTTGTTTATATTGTAAATAAAGTTTCTCTTTCTTATTTCTATAAACATCAAGCATTTGTTGTTTCCTTACAGTCTTTGTTTACTTTGTTAACCCTCATATTGGTCTTGTTGTCACTTGTTCCCGAATGGGAAGAATTTCTCAGTAATGCCCCCGACCTTTTTTGTTTTTTATTTTATTATCATTCCCATAAATGTTTGAGATTGTAGGCATCAACTTCCAATTTATTTTTCTGATATATGTAGTAGAGTGGGAGGAAATTATGGGAGAAATATTTTGACAAATTATCACATTGTTGTAGTCAAGATCTAATCTCTGCTGATGCTGGTTTCATCGCTGACAGAAGGATTCACTGTTGATGCAAGTGTCTTAGTGTTGTTGCTGAGTGACTGGTTAAGATTTTTTTTGCTGTAGAGTCCATTGCTAATACCAGCCTGGTTGAATCTGTCTTCATGGGTGCAATCAGAGCTGACTTTATAGTGAGTCAGTGGCTCAGAAATGTCTGCTGTAAAAACCTTGTGGGCTTTTCCTGATAGTCCAGAAAAAAATGTCTTATGACCCTGGTATTTTGGTTCAGGAGGTGTGTGCATGGAGCTAGACAAAATTAAGGTCTGTTTTTATTATATGAGCCATGGATGTCGAAGTTAGCACTTCCATTTGAGTTAAAGAATTGGAATTTACTATCAACAAGGCTAAGCAGGAGTACAAGTGACAGAACAAAATATTAGAATTATCTGTCTGGTCAAACCTAAAGGGATTACTCCTCACTTGGTCTGCTAAGACACCTGTTAGGTGGCACTGTTTCAGGACTATAAAAGTGTGGACATAACATTGGAATTTTTGCTATAAAAGGCAACTGAAAATTAAGGTGAAAAAAAATTACTAATCAAAATTATTAATGAGTGAAAATAATCACACTTCAAATAAAAATTTAATATTGTTACTAATAATCATACTAATGTTAAAAAATCTTTTTAAAATATGACAAAATGTTAGTTTAAAAAGGCTACATATTAAAAAATTTATGTGAAGAAAATCCAACATTTTGTCCTCCTCCAACTATCTCAAGCCGAGAAATTTCTGACCAATGGAAATAGGTTTGAGATGAGTCCTTCTCAAGATTATTTTCAATATATCAGGACAGAATTTGAAACCTGCAACAATCTGAAAAATAACTTTGTTATTGCTGACACGAATAAAAGGGAAGTGGTCATTTGGCTTAATTACTAGTCATTCACAACACAAATCTATTACCATTTCAACAATGAGAAGAGAATTCTGAGATACTCTGACCAACATGAGCTTGGCCAACATCCAATTACATAATACAATTTTGATCATGTTTGTCTGAAACAAACACACAAAGTTTTTGGCAAATGTTACAAAACAACTAGCTTACTGTAACCATAATTCTTCAAGGCTGTACTGACTTCTACAAGTTTACCACAATTGAAATTCACTCAGGGACTCATTTAACAACAGATGCTCCCTTTATTATGTTGACCTATGTCAACTATGCTGATGATGTCACTATTTACTTCTGTCTTAATAGTAAGTCTGATACGTTTGATATGGTCAAATTGGCAGCAGATATCAAAAATGACCATCAATCTGTTGTTAGCAAGAAATGGCTTGTTAATTTTAACAACTTCAAAATGAATCTGCTCTCTTTTAATAATCTTGGAGAACCTTTTTTGTGTTCCATCAATATGGCTGATGCTAACTTCCAGGAGAGTGACTTATTGCCTCTTCTCGGGTTAATGTTATTTGCTGACATGAAGTAGAATGATTATATTATTATGTATTATTATTATATATATTTTTTCGTGACCTTGTGTTCCCAAACACAAATGTGTATTTTTTTTCTTGGTGTTCACCCTGGACAAGGCCCAAAGGCCAAATCTCAAGGTTGCAAAGTAATTTTACATAAACACCATAATGAATTTATTTTATATTTTTTCATGATATGTGTTTTAATGGTTAAACCTAGAGTTGAACAGATTAAGATTGTAGTGATTGGATTAAAAAAAATTTTGGGAGTTGGTTTCACAAACAGCAGTTGTGAAAAAAGATTTATTATAAAATCTCACCAGAGGGATATGAAAAATGAAGGTTCACCATCATTGCATACAATGTGTGTGTATATATTCATTATTAGCTGTGAAATTTTAGGACTAGTAGAACTATGGGTGTAGTTCATTTGTTTCATTCTCCATGGAAATAGTGACAGAGCAGCAAGAGACTTGCAACATTTATCATACTTATTATAAAACCCAGGTTGTGTGTGTGTGTGTGTGTGTCTGTACGTTTATACATTGGATTGGATTTCCTACATTTTTCAACTGATTTCAACAAAACTTCACAGGACTATGTAAAATTACCATGCAGTGGTTCTGACAACGCCAAAAATTGGAAAAACACAATTGTTTTTGCACGAAATCAATTTGAAAACACGATTAAGAGGCATCACGAG